CAGGAAGAAAATCATTATCTCACATCCAAGAAACAATGCAGTATATTTAAATTCCTCACTGTGTTGCAACACACCATTTTTAAAGTTGTTAATAGTTTTCCCCACGAGCAAGTGCTGGAATATTTGTCCGGTCATGACGATGATGACACCAAAAGTATTTTACATATGTTCAATCTGGATTTCAGTTTATTCAATCCGTGAATCACTACTGACTTGATTTCCACCGACCAGTTTTAATTCCATAGAATACCCCAATATAAGGTCATCACATCACGTACACCAACGCGACCTTTGACTTTAACCTGTCTCGCANGTCCGGTTATGAATGGCGATTACCCAAACTCCGTGTTTCCAGCGCCTTTATGGGTTTATACGGATTTCTTGTCTGATTACCATCAATCCAAGATAAACGTTTGTGAGCAGCATTTGCAAGAAAAAGTCAGTGTCTTCTCTAGGTTGTCCACTAGAAATTGCAACGTGTTCCCGTTTCGACTAATTGTCTCATTGTCTGTTTCGTATGAATCCTGGCCTATCAAGTGAACATTTTCCAAGCTGCGGTAGATCCGTAAATGTTGAAACCTGTGCTAGGTTTTCCCCCATCGTTTACTTGACTCATTTTTTCTGGACACGAAGGTTTAGCCCTGTGCCTTTTGTATTGACTATATTCCCGATTGCGTTATCATAAACGCACAAGTTAGCAAAAAAGCTCGTTTTTGGTGCTACATCAAGTGATTGGTTCATTGTTTCATTTCGAGTTGGCGAGTTTGTTTACCTGAACTAAGTTTTCCGTCCCATCTTTTCTGTTCAATGGTGACTTTTTAAACGTGGTCTATGTAACTATGATGTACAGAATCTGCACCAAAATTCATCGATCCGTTGATTAATCACAACTGTGTGATCTTAGTCGAAGTCAGTTTCTCGGGCTCCTCTTGATTTTGCTGTAGCTTTCTACTTTCAGTGGGGCGGTCTAAATTTTAACAATTTCATTAGTCGGTCAGCCTAATGGTAACCGTCCGTATGTGGTATCTTGTTTACAGTGCGTACCTCTTCGTATCGAGGTGTAGACCTTGTAAATTGTACGTCGTTTTTTGTCTCTTCATTATATGTGTTTAAGACTATTCGTTCACCCACCGCAGTCGCTCATACTCCATCCATTTCACTAGAAGTGGTCATATGGATCTACCATTAATATGAATGTTTGAGGATTGACTGCGTGTGTGCCTTCGCCGCGCCAAAGTCCTGTTCCTTCATTGATTTTATCTGGCGGTACTGGTTTAACACATGTTTGTTAAATGTTTCAATAGACGCTAGGATGTAACCACTTGTACACAATTTGTCCACATCTGCTAAATCAAAACCATCCGAACGTATTCATCATTTGACTAACAGTCATCTTTGTTGATTTTCGCTCCGATCATCTGGTACGAGAAGTATGTTCGAAGATTTACATTGAAACTAACTAAGAAAACATACCTTCTATTTAGTTATGTTCAATGTTGCGACAATTCACTGCGCTGTTTGTTCTTCACTGGGCCGTCGTCTCCCTTCCGATTGCTTGTGAGCCACTGCAGTTCAAGCCATCCGTGTTCCATGTATTGTCGTGCTCGTCGCGTCTGTCAACTTACGTGTCATTCCTTCAGACTGGAAATAACTTTTCGTCCGAGGAATAAAAGTACATGACGCGATTCATAATAACTAAATAGTCTATTTTTTACTTCCTCTATTACTTACTGTACATACCAAAATGTAAATTCAACTTTCAGTTAGATGACTGAGACTATACAACGACTATTACCACTCGGGACATTTAGGTCACTGTTCTGATATACTGTTTGCAACGTGTGAAAAATGAAAACAAAAACTGTGTTTAAAGCGGTTTCGCGATCTATACCGGATCAAACACTTATGAGAAAAGGTTTTGCACTGAGCTGTGGTTTACCAGTGTTATAATTCCACAAGGCGGTGCTCGGTCAAGGCTAATTGTTTATTATAGATTACAGTTGGGACATCACTGGTTTGACATACATAAACACAGAAATCTCATCTAAAACATATCATCGCAGTTCCTGGCAACCCATCGGGTAATGAACGTAGCCATTGGTAGTTATTCTTTGAGACCTAGCAATTTTCCCTCGGTGGTCTTGTCAATTTTCGATCGTTGAAAGAGATCATCAACTATTTTAGACACTACTCAAATGAGAGTAGTACCTCACGACACTAGTATTCAATTTCACTTTGAGTGAATTCAGGAATCTGGATTTCTATTATTCCTGGGCTCATTGGTATAACTGTCGTGCACGTGGAGGATCTCGAAATTATTCCCTTGTACTTAAGAAAAACAAGGCAGCATTGGTACGGATGTATCTGTAAAATGTGTTAACGCTACGGATTTTTAAGTTTGGTGAGATTTTCCTGAAATTAGGATAGAACTGACACAATGTGCAATTTTGGGGAGGAAAGCAACCTATGTTTACATCAGGTAAGCGAGAAAGACAGATTAATAGTGAAATTGTCGCATGATGGGTAGGCAGAGTGAGGATATTATTGCATTATGAGAGGGTTTTTATGACACACCAGTGTGATGAACAGCAGACGGACGAACCCCATAATCACGAAGACCTGCCGTTCACTGATGGTAACCGGCAGTCTAAGCCTCGGGAATTGGCGTGCAGAACCACGTTAGACCCTTTGCATCTTGTAAAACGGTCCTATATGATCAAGCCTCTGAAATAGCTTCTGCTGAGGAAGCCTCACTCGTTGCCTTCCCGTGGCGCAGGTGTTTTCCTACTAAATTAGTAGACCGAGGCTACAATTGTCAGAGAGTCAGCATGCTCCCTGAAAACTACTTTGTGCTGGGAAAGCCAATCAGAACACCGGAACCGCCAATCAATCAAGATGGTCGACAGCAATCCAGTCAACCAATCATTTGAAGTATACGTTCCCCTGTTCTCGCTCTTTCTTACAAATAACCATAGTTTTCGCTTAGTAAATGAATTCCTACACTCTTCCTGGTGCGTTCTATTTCATTGTCTGTAGAGTTCCTATCTGAACGAGAAACGTTACCGGAAGACGAGCCTTTGAGAGTCCAGTATTGAAAAGATTCTGTGCGGTTACAACAGTAGCCGGATTGGTGAAAATCTTGCAGTCTACCTTTTTATTATTTTTATTACACTAATCCTTGTTTGATAAACAGCAGACGGGGTAAACCCCGTAGTCGTGAAAACCTGTTCAGTGCTGAGAACCGTTCTTACTGGTCAGCGAACCGGGATACGGCCCATGCTCTATTTTTAACCTGAATCTACCCAACCATGGTAAATAATCATATATCATTATCTTTAGACCCATATCAACAATATATTTTGAGACAAAACTGCCTTGCTGGTCAAGTGGTTAAGGTTATCAAAAGCAGATGCCCGGAGAAACCTGAGTTCAAAACCCGCCACCGCCACCCATCGTCCTTATTTCTATATTCCTCCAGGCAGTGTTTGTATGGCGTGGCCTTTTCCCGATCAAATACACTTTCAAAATGCCGTATTATTGTTAGTATTATTATCAGTAGTTGTAGCAGTAATTCAACAGCCATGTGCATGCTCTTGCCGATAGTGCCATTCTGCGTTCTCTTCTATCCACTTTCTGTTCCGTAAACGCAGGACTGTTGGTTGAGAAGCAGTCATTGTAACTTAAGTGTTATCCTTAATCCTACTCTCAGTATTTCTGTGTCTTCTTAAAACCTCTTCGTTTGTTGAAATCTCCCTCCGATCCACCGCTCTTAGGCGCATATCTTTGACCTCCGCAATAACTGTTGATTTAAAGTGTCTGCGTTCCACTGGTTCGCGAAATCTGTTGAATCTTTCCCGTTTATTTTCCCTCTTAGGATGAAATGCCATTAGTGGCTTGCCTCTTACACTATAAGGTGGCAGGCTTTCTGTAGGGCCGCAGCCTCATTCGCTTCACTCTGTTCTTCTTCGGGTTCGATCCAAAACCCTGCATTTTGATCAAACAGGCCACTTGAAGCGGCTATCTCAACGTCGCCATTCGCTACCGCCACTGCTTTGTTCCTCTTTTCAACTCGTCTTTTCCATCACTCGTTAACTTGTTATTCCTTCCAGGTCTGGTTTTGTGTACCGTTAGTCACTCTTACGAAGTGACTACTCTTAGTGGCTTTGCTTCCAGCTTCCAATAATCTGTTTTCTAAGAACTGTGGTGCATATTTTCTCTTATTTTCATATCCCATCACCATCATCTTTAAACGCGAAATCATTCAACTGATTCCGACTCGGATGTTCTCTTCACACTCATGTACATATATCCTCGGACTGTGTGATTTATGTTTTATTTCATTAATCTACTGTTTAAGAAGAAATTAAATTTTCGTTTCTTCCTAACTTGTCATGCTTTGCCTGTTTTGCTTTTGTATGCTCCTGATTGATTTTACATCTGCTGTTAGTAGTGATGCTAGCTGTTGATCGTTCTGAAACCTCAGCTGGTTACACTATTATTATTAGATAGATGTCGTACTCATCTTGTTCGTCCTTTTCCGAGATATTGTTCGCAATAATTCTTTTTGTTATAAGCGGTTGCATCCTTTTGGAACTCCACCACGTAATGTACATCTTACAAAAATTACACAATTCACAGATTGAATGCTAATTGTAACTCTGTTTTTTACTCTGAGATATATTTTCGGTTTGGAACAACAATTTCACCCAGTGCCTTTTTTGTCACTTAATTCAAATTTCCTCTGTTTTAGATCATTATGTGTGTTTCAATTAGTCTGCCATCATGCAAAAAGATAAATAACATGGTACCAATTTTTGCACCTTGAGAAACAAGGCAATATTTTAATTTGTGTGAAATACCAATGTACTGGTGTTTTTCTAATCTCGGGCAGGTAACAACTTCGTTTCTTGTTGATACGCGGCTCACAGAATTCTCTATGGGTATCCTTACATAGACATTTTCTACCGGTGATGATGTGCTATCGATTAAGGTCGATTCGTCGTGATGTGTTAGCCTATTTGGTTCCGCAACACTTCAATCGTGCCATTTAGCATCGCTTCTCCCACTCTTTCGTTATGGATCCATTTTTCGTTCCTGTCACGTGGTCGATTTGGCCGTAGGCAAATGTGACGATCACTTTCTTCCACGCCTATTCTAGCCGGGCTTGCTTGTCCTGTAACCAGTTCAGCACAGGCTTCCCCGCAAGTATTGATGCAAAACGCAGTGTTCAAACTGTGGTGAAAAAAATATTGATCTAATGGATCTCTCCTTTCGCGAAACATGCCTGTTTCGTTTCACATTGTTAGGCCCTATCGCCTGACGTCATTTTGACATTTTGAACCGATTACATCTGTCTTTCTTTGTCTCCATGCTTGTTTTTAAAATCTATCAACGATACCCTTTGACATTTTTCTGTTTCACGATCGTACGGCTGCTCATCCGAATAATTCGCGGTACGCATCATCGGGTTTCTGATGCAGCATCTCTGCTCACTGATATTAAGGATGCCAACCATCTGTGGCCACGTGTAGGCTGTTGTAAAGTTGCGTGCTGGCAGCACGATAATGTCGGAGTTGGCCCTGATCGAATAGGAGAAAATGTGAAAAACAAGGGGCAATTATAATTGGAAAACAAATTCGATTGCATTTTCTGGGTTCACATGTTGATCGTAACAGCGCAGAACGTAACTGTACCGTTTGGTGTACAAATAAAATGTATGGTCAAGGACAAAACTTGTCAAGATGTCCTAACAAACCATCGATAATAATCTTACTACATCATCTCGAACCTTCACGCATTGGTGTATGCGAATGCCAAGATTCGGGTGTGCAAAATTCGAGAGAAACTGATCGAAGTCAATCGCATAGCTACTTTTGATCGAACTGCATATTTGTGTTTGGTAATAGATGCTGGTACTACATTAATCGGGTCATCGCTTTGATTGGTTACAAATTTCAACCAATGGAGTTGTTACGGCTGTGTTGTGCTAAAGAGCGGAAAACCGTGGAATAAAACGTCCTTTTGACTATCATTGTTATCGAACCGGAAAAATACGGCCACACTGATGCAAATTTGGCACTTACTTACTGCTCTAGAAGTCTACGCCGAAAGTATGCGCTGACTGAGTGTGTGACCTTTATTATTCAAATGAAGCACCAAATTGAACTCTTGTGTATTTGACATTTCGGATGGGTAAACTCGAATGAAAATTTAGAAATGTTTGTGTTTTAATTCAACCTTCCATTGAGCGTCACAAATGACGGGAACTCCAGTGATGCGTCATATAAATACCTTTCAAAGTTTTAAAATCACTTCAATGTTTAAGGGTTGCTGGGACTGATCGCATACTTCCAACTGGCGTATTCCGGTTAGGTATCAGAGCTGTGTTAGGCATTGCTCGTTGTTTGGGATAACTTTCGGTGTTCCGAATTTCATGAAACTTTGTTCGTTTTGTCGATGTTTTTCTTTTCCACTACACGGATGGTCTTCACGCAAAATGTCCACGAGCGCATCAAGCTATAAGGTATGGCGAACCGTGACAACCGACATCGGATCATACGGTTTTCGAATTCAGTACTAGACACTATCATAAAAGCTATTTTTTTATTTTTGCACCTCGATGAATGAATATTGTTACAACTTCAGACATTTGTTTTTCTCCGTGTTTTTTAAGGAAGAGGCTTTTAGACGGACACATTCATACTTTGATTATACTCTCAAGAATCAAGGTGGGTGCATACTGTTTTGCGGAATCCTTTTCCTTTCAGACTCTCCTCGACCATTAAGTTTTGATTTTTTTTTGGTTTTACACCTTCAGCGAAGCTTTTCAAAAAATCTCTTTCTTGAGCATCGGGAGAGGGGGTTAAGAAATAGCACCAGACAGCTGTTTCGTTTCTGTGGGATGTAATCTGCGCAGGATCAACAATACTTCACATTTGATTCGATATTTCGCGTGAAATAAAACAAAATCACCTTCAATGAATTATTTAAATGTGACTTTATTAAGTGAAGTACTGAAATTTCATGTAAAATTCGTTGTGTTGAATGGTATTCCGCAATTTTGTGTTTCGCTCAGTGGTGTTTCTGTGTGTTTCAGACCTGTTCTCATATTGCTAAAATCCCACGCGTCACCGCCGCTTGCGTAGATCATAGTGCTTACACGACCGCTCGTAAACAATGACTCCTATTTTTGACCGCGACGTTTTGATGTATGATACAGTATAAAGTTCACTTGGGCTAATTGCCATTGTATTCGTTCCTCTGTTTCCTCATCAGACAACAAGATGCACAGGAGTTTCTGCGATACGTCCTTGAGGGATTGCACATTGAGGTGAATCGTGTGACCAAACGACCCCATCCAGTCACCCCTGACTATGCAGCCGAGGATCGCTTGGCGTAAGTGACTAAAACCGTTCCTCTTGTGTGTCTCGTCATCCACATTTCAAACCCATGGGTTTACTATTGATCGTGTGCGTTAAATACCGCCGTTCTTTCCGTTTTCATATTCGCCACTGCCAAGTGTAGTTAAAAGCATACCTTAGCTGCCTTGAATAGGGTGAATTTCTAATATATAGATATATATATGAGAATTCCGGTTGTATGTATCTCATCCAGTGCCAAAAGAGCAGTAGATCAATGCATCAATCTAATCCACACTACCGTCTGGTTTCTGGGTTTCACTGTAGTACCTATCGTTCAATTAAAATTCATAATCCTATGGAAAAAATTGTAAATGTTCCTATTCCAGGGCGTAAACGTCGTCAGATTTCCAGGGTTCAATCGTATAAGATTTCAAAATGTAATTCAACCAAGTGACCGAGTTACATCGAAATCCTCAAAACTGTTTGTTGAAGCGGTCATACTAAACTTTTATCACTGGAATTACCTACAAACTCATGTTTCTCTTTTCCTATAAAATATTTCTACAATTTAATCTTTTCTTGGTTAAAAATTAGGAATCCCATCTAATTTTTCGGGTTCAAAGATGCCCCATGCTTTAGCCTTATTTCACTGTTTTATATGGTTTCGTTAGCGCTTAAATATGACGCATTTGAGCGTTTCATCAAGTCTCCGCTTGAAAGATTCAATTGATGGTACACGAACGACATCGAAAAGTGTTCCAAGATGTGCTCACACCGACGGCAAAAGATTGACGCCGGCATTCTATCCGGCCAACCTGTTCGCTGAGATGGTTATTAGGCGACGACATAGATGGTTGGGGTTCCGTGCCTGTGCTATGATTTTGTTTCGGAGGTGGGTTAGATTATAATAACCGCAACAAACGTGACCTGATGGTATATATATTTCATAA